AAAAATCCATAGACAGACAGACACATATACATATATGCACATAAACCAGAAAATTAAGGGGGGAAAAGGCAGAAAAATAGGCCCAAGTGGAATCAAGATTCAAGAGAATCCGAATGACATTACCACAAAATGTACTAATGTTCACAATGGCTAGGGGGAAGCTCTTGCAACTGGCTCCTTCCCATAAGGGAATTAGCCTCCCTGAATAAGGCTGCTGGGCAACAGCCTGCCTATGCAATAAGGGATGAGAAGTAGGAACGTTTCGCCTCTCTTATTGCCACAGAGTGGTCCAAATTTGGACACATATACATGTTCTTTGTCCTCTTACCCTATCAGTAGACATTGCTTCTGCTTTATCTCCTGGGGATCCTCCAAAAATCAAGAGGCCACCAGGAATAAGCCAACACAGAGTGGATATTCAGGACAATTTAATCAAGGGCCTGAGAGGCCTCCTGTTGCCAGCAGTGAACAAAGCACTCTGTGAAGTTGCCCATTGGGTTGTTGGGAAAATCCCCAAGTGCCTGCGAGAAACCAGCTTGATTCATGAGACACCGGGGCTAGACTATCCAAATGGTTCCAACCCATGGGCTGCTGTCAATCATTGCTGAACCAGGAAATGACCTCACCATGACAAAGGGGGTGGTGGTAATACCCTCCACATCCAGATCACAAAACAACTTTCCTGAAGTGAAAATGAGGTTATCACCAGCAAGACCCAGCTGGTTATCACAGGAGGTCCCCAGGAAACTATACCCCAGCACCCAAAGCCCCCCAACACTGAACCACTGGTAGGTGTGTCCCTTGGCCTCCTGCCCAACTCCCAGCAACACAAATGCCCCACACTCTCTGCTGTCAGACCGTCTCTCTGTAGCTGACCAGACAGGAACCTAAAAATTTGACTTCCCCTTCATTCACCATCACAATCCAATCACTGTTGCCACCTCTGCGGGGGGCAGGAGCGATCTGCTTCCTAGAAGATCTTAAATCCAGACTAAGTCCTACCAAACTGGGTGACTTTGGGCCAGTCACTCTCTCTCAGCCCAACCCTCACACAATTATTGTTGTGAGGAGAATAGGAGGCAGGAGTATTGGGTATGTTCACTGCCTTGAGTTATATATTAAAAAGGCGGGAAAGGAGGAGGAGGAGGAGGAGGAGGAGAAAGCAGCAGCACCAGCAAGGCAAAGTATTACATGGCCAGTAACAAAATAACTATCAGGCAAAGCAGATAACAACAAGAACTGGGAATGGCTAAAAGCAGGAAAGTTGAAGAAAGAGACAGAGGGGCTAATTCTGGCTTAAGACCAAGCCTTAAGAACAAGTGCATACAAAGCCAAAATTGAGAAGACAGCAACAGACAGCAGTGCTTCCTCTGCAAAGAAGCTGAAGAAATTGTGGATCACCTAGTTAGTTGCTGCAAGAAGATCACACAGACTGACTACAAACAACAGCATGACAAAGTAGCAACAATGGTGCACTGGAATATCTTCAAGAAATACGATTTGCCTGCAAGCAAGAACTGGTGGGACCACAAAACATACAAAGTAATAGAAAGTGAAGAAGCTAAAGTGCTCTGGGACTTTAGAATTCAAACACACAAGCACCTGCCACATAACACCCCAGACTTAACAATTCTTGATAAGAAAGGCAAAAAAGTCTGGATAGTGGATGTTGCAATACCTGGAAACAGCAGAATAGAAGAGAAAC